CTAAACCCTAAACCCTAAACCCAACCCTCCTATGTTGGGCTCTCTCACGTGCCCTAAACCACAAACCCTCAACCCTGGGGTGCGGTGTTTGGGGCTCAGGGTTCGAAATTTTGGGGCTTTGGGTAATTCGACACTTTAAACCCAAAACTCCCAAAATCTTAAATGCTAAACCCTACCCCAAGCCCTCTTTTCTCTGGCCCCAAAAAACGTGGGAGGCGCTGAAATACGAAAGATGAGCCACAGCTCCAAACCCGCCCCCAAAAACTCAAGCAGCTGTGTTGAGGTGTAGGGTTTAGTGTTTAAGGTTCGAGGATCAGAGTTCAGGGTTCAGGGTTTAGGGTTTAGGGTTAGGGCTGGGGCTTTCATTCCATCTCCGCTAGCCAACGAGACAGCGTAAGCTTGGTTGGTGTGTCGGGCCCACGCCAAAACACTACACGTCAAAACTCAAACCAATGCCTGGCCGTGATCCGCAAACCTAGCGCCCTTCGAACCAGACCCATAGTCATGGCACTTAACCCAACTTTGGGAGGGGGATATGTTTAGGGTTTAGGGTTAGTGCCCCCCAGCCTTCCAAGAAACCTAAACCCTAAACCCTAAACCCTGAACCCTGAAGCCTGAACCCCAAACCAGCAGTCGTGCTCAGCTTGCTTCCGGGGTGCTCTTTCGCAAAGGCCCTCGCTTCATGAAGACCTGAAACCATTCAGCGACCCTAAACCACACTTGTCGTCCCGGGCTCCTGCCATAAACCTGCTACATCCCTAAGCCCTAAACCCTAAACCCTAACCCCTAAACCCTAAACCCTAAACCGCAATAAGGCGGCTCTCACGGCCGTCGGTTGGCTCAGGTGCATAGGTTATTCCCCACCGCCCGGCACCCCCACCAGGTACAACCTCAAATATACTACCGCCCAAAGACTTCAACAGGTTTAGGGGTTAGGCGGCTTGAGCCGAAGGCTCTTAAATTTAGGGTTTAGGGTTTAGGGTTCCAAAGACTTAGTTGTCAAGTACCTAGGGGGAACTAAAGGTTAACCTTTGGGATCATAAGCGGATTCTCTTACCCCAAAAAGGTTAGAGGCTACCTACTCTGCAACTAAGAAGACTTCAACCGGTTTGTTGGGATTCGGGTAGCGAGGGTTTGCGGCAGGGCTTGGGCCAACCGAGTCCAGCAGCGTGCCAGCCAGTTTAGGGGTCTAGGGTCTAGGGTTTAGGGTTTAGGGTTTAGGGTTTAGGGTTTAGGGTTTAGGGTTTAGGGTCTCTTAGCACGCGTGGCCAAGAACTCCAAGCCCGCTCGACAGCCTCCGAGCCAACTATCTCAACCAGCACGGAATAAGCCCTTTTTTTCCTAAGTTCTGCGCCCGAAGCACGAAACCCTAAACCCTAAACCCTAAACCCTAAACCCTAAACCCTAAACCCTAAACCCTCAGTTTTGAAGCATCAGGGCTTCGATTTGGTCGCCCTCCTGCCTTCCTTGCTCTTGAGGTTTGGGCCGAAGCTCTTCAAGCCGCTCAACCCTAAACCCTACACCTAAACCCTCCGAGGCCCTTCCACACAGAGTCTGTTTCGGCGGGGGGGGGGGGGGGGGGAGGGGCTGACGGGTTGATAGCTGAAGGACCTGAATGAGAAGAAACTAACTTTCTACTGGGCAAGAGAGACCCAAACGCCGACTTTGTTGAAAATCCAGTGGGTTTAGGGTTTAGGGTTTAGGGTTTAGGGTTTAGGGTTTAGGGTTTAGGGTTTAGGGTTTAGAGTTTAGGGTTTAGGGTTTAGGGTTTAGGGTTTAGGGTTTAGGGTTTAGGGTTTAGGGTTTAGGGTTTAGGGTTTAGGGTTTAGGGTTTAGGGTTTAGGGTTTAGGGTTTAGGAATATGACCCTCTTAAACCCAATAGGGGAAAATATGAAAATGTCTCAAAGGGCCTTCCGAGCAGACCCCTTTGACCAGTGGCCCCCTCCTCCCCCTGGTTCGTCGTAGGGAATGAGGGAACGAGGGCCCCATTTATACCCTTTAAGGGATTTAGGGATTTAGGGTGTAGGCTTTAGGGTTTAGGGTTTAGGGCCAGTCCTTGCGGGAAACTGAGCCGGCGACCGGCCACTTTGCGCGCCCGGAGTTGCGGCAGTGGGCCTGCAGAAGCTGGGACGACCCCAAAGTTTAAAATACTGGATTTAGGGTTTAGGGTTTAGGGTTTAGGGTTTGGGGTTTGGGGTTTGGGGTTTGGGGTTTGGGGTTTGGGGTTTGGGGTTTAGGGTTTAGGGTTTAGGGTTTGCTGTAATCGGGCGTAGATGCTGTGAAGGTTAGGATGCAGCAGCGGCTCGAATGCTTCGGCAGGTGCGAAGAGCAGCTCTGGCCCGATTGTGGAGGGCCATCTAATACTTTTCTCCCACCCCACGCCGTCCGAGGCGGCAAAGCCACCCAAACCTATTCCTTTTAGGGTTTATTCCTGGACTCATGACAATCGCTCACTTTCAAAAAAAGCTTCCAAGAAAAGTTTTGAGGAGGGCCAGGCGGAGGCCAGGGGGCCCGGGGGGGGCCAGGGCGGGGCCAGAGGGGCACACTTTTTTGAGCCCTGCTCCCTGGACACGCTGTTGTGGGGGGTCCGGGTCCTCCTGGCCCTACCCCCCCGAAAACTATTGGTTGGGTCGACTGCCCCCCCGCGGTATGGGGGCGGGTTAGGCCCTGAGTTTAGGGTTCAGGGTTCAGGGTTCAGGTTTGGTCCCTTTCGGAGTTCAATAGTTGAGTTCACCAACATAAGAGTCATGAGAAGACCCCTCCCCTCCCCCACATCAATAGTGCTCAGGGCTTGCAAAAAGCCACTCGTGGGAAGGAACCTTTTGCTGCAAACAGCTGCCCACAACATGGAACTCCCCAGTCTGAATCCCCAAGAGGAACCCCCCACCAGCCCCGCGTTCCTCGCCCGGCTAGTCAAGGCGTGGGATTTGGGTCATGGTCAGATGGCAGTTGTTCAACATACCTCCCCAAACCCTACACCCTGAACCCTACACCCTAAACCTTAAACCCAAAATGGCCTAAGGTAGCCCGCCTCGTTGATCTCGCACGTGTTGTCGGCAAGGTAGTAGTGGATGATGAAGTACACTCCTTACTCCCCAAGCCATGCACCCTAAACCCTAAACCCTAAACCCCACACGCCCAGCCCTAAACCCCAAACCCTAAACCCCAAACCCTAGACCCCAGACCCTAAACCCTAAACCCTAAACCCTAAACCCCAAACCCTATAAACCTAAAGCATAACCTGAAGCCGCCAGAGTGCCCTTTGAGGGCTGCTTGGCTTGAGGGTTTAGGGGGCCCTTGTCTGCTGTTGCTCCGGAGAGGAGGTCTACTATCTCTTGGAGTACAACAGAAATTTACGAAAATAAAGGGGGCCCCTCATATAGACACATAGACCCCAAATAGTAGGATTCCCTTTAAACAGGACCAGGTACCCGTAATTTCGAAAACCTCCAAGTTGGGGGGGGGGGGGGGGGGGGGGGAGGGGGGGGCGGCAGGCGGGGTTGGGGTTGAGGGCTTAAGGGTGACGGTTCAGTGTTCTTGACCCTGATGTCTTGAAAACTCTCAAGTCCCAAGAAGATCTTCACGACATCCGGCCTCTCACAAAAAACTCGCCGGGGCCAGTCAGCATGGGCGTGCAGGCTGCTCCCGGAACCCTGAATATTGAGGAGGATAAGGAGGGACCCCAAGAAGGGACCCCTCACTTAATCTTATTCCCCTGTATAACCCCCCTTATATACCTTACATAGTCCCTATATGCCTAAGCAGCCCCTAAAGAACCGCCAAGGTCCCTTATAAGGTCCCTCCTGTAGTCCCTTGACCGCCTAAACCCTAAAGCCGAAACGCCGGGATGGATGTGCGGAGTGACGGCTTCAAACGGGCTTCGGAGTCTGAAGCCGCGAAGCCCCAAAAAATCGAAAGCTTTTAGGGTTTAGGGTTTAGGGTTTAGGGTGAAACCCGAAACCCCAAGCTCGACCCAAATCCCACCCCCCCCCCCCCCCCCGCGATCTTGGGAGGGAGGGGTTAAGGTGTAAGGTTTAGGGTATAGGGTGTTCAGGGTGTTCAGGGTGTTCAGGGTGTTCAGGGTGTTCAGGGTGTTCAGGGTGTTCAGGGTGTTCAGGGTGTTCAGGGTGTTCAGGGTGTTCAGGGTGTTCAGGGTGTTCAGGGTGTTCAGGGTGTTCAGGGTGTTCAGGGCGTTTAGGGTGTTGAGGGTGTTTAGGGTGTTTAGGGTGTTTAGGGTGTGTAGGCTTTAGGTTTACGGCTTTTTTGCCTCCCGCCGACTAATAAGCAGCTAAACAAAAGCCTACATTGCTGGGCATCGGGTTCAGGATAATGGGGCCAAGGGTGCTGTTTAACCCTAAACCCTAAACCCTAAACCCAGCGGGGCAGCCCCAAAAGATGCGTTGTACTTCAGCACAGAAACGAAACAGCCCGTGAGTTGATTCTAATTCCTAAACCCTAAACCCTAAACCCTAAACCAGGCGGTTCAGGGTTTAGGGCAACAGCCCTCAGCACTACACTTGCGAAGCCGGGGATCGGGATCCATAAGGCGTGTGGTCGTCCCAGTAGCCCTGGACCCGCATTGAGCATTGGCTGCGAGTTCGGGGGGGAAACTTGCAGGCCCCCAAAAGTATTGGGGCTCGGGCTCTCGGTATTCTGGGCTTGCGGGTTTAGGGCTTGTAGTCTAGTAATTGCTTAAGAACCCCCCCCCCCCCCGAAAAAAAATAATCTTCGTTATAAGGGTAATATAAGGATTGTTTATTGTTTATTCGTTTAGGGTTCTTAATTAAGCAAATAGAAGTAGTGGTTTGTGCCTAAACCCTAAACCCTAAACCCTAAACCCTAAACCCTAAACCCTAAACCCTAAACCCTAAACCCTAAACCCTAAACCCTAAACCCTAAACCCTAAACCCTAAACCCTGTAGTTTGGGGGGGGTTCAGAACTTCAGAGGCATACACCGGCCCCAGTTGGCACCCTGCGGTGAGTAGTGGGCAGGGAAACTCGCACAAGCGCAAGTACAGCTCTCCCACTATTTCAGAAGCCCAAAAACTATAAATTAAAAAAAAATATATATATATATATATATATTTTTTTATTTATACATATATATATATATATATTGTTCCTTATAAGGGCAAGATAGGGATTACTTTTTTGTGTGCTTTGGGGGGGGTTCTTAGGCAAATAGTAGTCTCATGAGTGCAATTGCATAACCGCTTCCCCCCACCCCGCAGAAGAAAAAAAACACTCAAGAACCCCAACCACCGGAACCTCAATCGTAAACCTTGCGCCCTGCATCCCAACACCTAAACCCTAAACCACAAACCCTAAACCCTATACCCTAAACCCTAAACCCTAAACCCTAAAACTATGTCTAAACCCAACTCCGTGAAAAGCCAACTTAAGGCCTTGAAGCGCAGCACCTTCCGATCATTGAGCAGGAACCTGGGCAGGTTGGACTCTGGGTATGCTGTCTTCGTGAAAAACCCCTAAGCCCCAAAACCGAAAAACCCAGGCACGCCAAAACGACACTGAACCCCAATGTCCTAAAAGCCCTAAAGCCTAGCAACCTGAAGTACGGCAAGTAATGAAGATCTCAAAAGTGTCCAGGTTTCGACCCTAAACACTAATCCCTCAACCCTAGACCCCAGGGGGCCATAAACCCACGGAACTGTTGCATTTTGGACTTTAGGGTTTAGGGTTTAGGGTTTAGGGTTTAGGGTTTAGGGTTTAGGGTTTAGGGTTTAGGGTTTAGGGTTTAGGGTTTAGGGTTTAGGGCACCGGACACAAAAGGCCACGACAAGACCTCTCATACACCTCGAACCCAAAGGGCCCAATACCCCCTGAAGAATGCAGCTTAAAGTGTAGCCTGAAGGTTTAGGGGTTGGGGTTTCGGGTTTAGGGTTTAGGGTTTAGGGTTTAGGGTTTGGGGTTTTGGGAGTTTAGGGAGTTTAGGGTTTAGGGAGTCCCTGGCAGGAAAAAAACTCAGCCGCAGCAGCTGAGCGAGCTTCTTGTCAATGGGAGGGATGCCACCTAGGGCCCGCTGGATCGCCTGATTGGAAATTGGACAGGTGGGGGAGGTTTAGGGTTTAGGGTTTAGGGTTTGGTGTTTAGGGTTTAGGGTTTAGGGTTTTGGGTTTTGGGTTTTGGGTTTAGGGTTTAGGGTTTAGGGTTTAGGGTTTAGGGTTTAGGGTTTAGGGTTTAGGGTTTAGGGTTTAGGGGGGCACGGGGAGGGCTGTCGGGCTTCGGGTTTAAGGCGTAGGGCTTGGGGGATTTTAGGGTTTCGGGCGGGGGGATGGGGGTTTAACTCTTGTATTAGGTTGAGGCTTAAAAGAAAGACACCTATGATTTCGATTCTTTGTCAGCTTCAGGCATCATTCAGAGAAGAAACGCTAAACCTTTTGGTTGAAACTGGACTTGCTGACTGCGAGAAAGGCACCAAACCTTAAACCCTAAACCCTGTTGAACCCAGACTCTTGTCCTCGTCAGCTGCTCCCAAACCTTGAACCCTGAACCTGAACCCTGAACCCTAAACCCTAGGCCCTCAGCCCTAAACCCTAAACCCTAAACCCTAAACCCTAAACCCTAAACCCTAAACCCTAAACGCCTTGTCTTCCACCGCTGCGCGGGTCAGCGGCGCGCCGCCCCTGGCGAAGACCTGCGACGTGCCGTAGGGTTTAGGGTTTAGGGTTTAGGGTTTAGGGTTTAGGGTTTAGGGCTTAGGGTTTAGGGTTTAGGGTTTGAAGACCTGCGACGTGCGGTAGCCCTTCTGCCAGTGGTCGGTCGGCACGTCTTCGTCCTCGAAGCTCGGTCTCACGGTTGGTTTAGGGTTTAGGGTTTAGGGTGTCGGGTTTAGGGTTTAGGGTTTAGGGTTTGGGGTTTAGGGTGTAGGGTTTAGGGTTTAGGGTTTCGGGTTTAGGGTTTAGGGTTTGGGGTTTGGGGTTTAGCGTTTAGCGTTTAGGGTTTGGGGCCGTTTAGGGTTTAGGGTTTAGTGCTTAGGGCTTAGAGCTTAGGGCCGAGGCCCGAATCCCAACCAAAAAAAGGTCACGGCTTGGCTGTCCTCCGCCAGCTCAATGCCATTCTCCTCGAAGAACCAGCGGGTAAAACGATCGCAGCCACCTGGAGGTTAGGGTTTAGGGTTTAGGGTTTTATTAGGGCTTAGGGCTTAGGGCTTAGGGATTTAGGGATGTAGGGATTTAGGGATCCGCCGACCCTGGCGGCGTGTTGGATAGGTTTCTGGAGGTGAAAACCTCCCTTTTTTCCCTCCTTACCCCCCCTCCCCCCCCCCCTCCCCCCTGACCCCCCCAAACCCCCCCCCACCGCCCCCCTTCCTCCTTCCTGCTAGCCCCCTCAAATCCAGTAAAAACTTAACCTGCACCCGAAACCCTAAACCCTAAGCCCTCCCACCCTTAACCCTAAGCCTGTGGTCGTTGGGCTGTCCTCGGTTTAGGCTTTCGGGGTTTAGGGTTCCGGTTTCGGTTTAGGCTTTACTTTGGGGTTTAGGGTTCGGCTTTAGGGCTGAGGCTTTAGGGTTTAGGCTGTAGGGTTTAGGGTTCGGCTGTAGGGTTTAGGGTCGGGATTGGGTTTAGGGTTTGGCGCCGGGGCACGCTGCGCCGCTTCAGCCCTGAACAATGCTCCGGCGGGGTCGGCGGCTTGAGCCGGAGGCTCTTAAATTTAGGGATGTAGGGGTTAGGGATTTAGGATTTAGGGTTTAGGGTTCGAACTTGTTGTTTCGGGAGTAGGGAAACCATCCGGGAAGGTTTGACGCATCCCACTTGGAGGTTTATGGTACTTATTAACCAAAGATAGCTGTACTTACAACCCACTTAGAAGCCCCTTGCGTACCCTAATATGGTTATAGGTAGAAGTACAGTTACCCTAAATCCTAAACCCTAAACTTTAAGTACAGTTATTATTGGTTAATAAGTACCATGAACCTCCAAGCAGGACCTCAAAAGCAGCCGGGGCGCTGATGTGATAGGTCCGGCCATGGAGTGTCAAGTCCTTGGAAGCTCAGCAACCTTATATCATAATAAGCATACTAGGGGTACCCTGGTACCCTTGTTTTGGGGTTGATTTAGGGTTCCGGGTTCAGGGTTCAGAGTTTAGGGTGTAGGGTTTGGGGGGCGGCTAGCTTGGGGTTTGGGGTTTGGGGCAAAAGGGTACCACTGGGCTACTGAGAGTCGTGGCCGACCCGCATGTCGTCCGGGCCAATGGGGACCCCATCCTCGTTGAGGATGCGCTGGCGCTTCATGAAGGTTCCTCTGGAGTGGATTGAGCGGGCACCATAAAATTGTGAAAAATCTCTGGTGTGCTACGTGGCGTTACATAGAACTCAGACCCCCCAAAACACTAAACCCTAAACAGGCCCTAAACCTTATGAGTTTCTACTCCAAGTCAACCCTAAACCCTGAACAGGCCCTATAAACCTTGTGAAATTGTACTTCAAACCAACCCTAAACGCCCCATAAACCTTCTGAGTTTGTACTCCAAGTCAACTAGCTGCCTAAGAGCCCCACAAAACTTAAACAACATTCTTCCTCATAAGGGCAATATAGGACTCAACCCCAAACCCCAAACCCTAATTATTCTTTCTCTATTTCTTTTTTTTGAGGGGGGAAGGGGGGGGGGGGGGGCGGGGTTCTTAAGCAAATAGTAGACATCAACCCCCCCCCCCCCCCCCCTTGCCGGGTCTCCTTGTGTCAGTCCCGAGTTTTCCACCTTGGGCTCATTGACGCCGATCGTCCCATCCTCCATGAAGTACCTCTCCGGGCGGGTTTAGGGTTTAGGGTTTAGGGTTTAGGGTTTGGGGTTTGGGGTTTAGGGTTTAGGCTTCAGGGTTCAGGGTTTAGGGTTTAAGGTTTTGGGTTTAGGGTTTAGGGTTTGGGGCTTCCCATTCCCGGAGAGGCCAAGACCCCTACCCCCCTAAGCTGCTATAGGGATCTCTCTCTCTGGGTTCCGGGAGCCTTCACAGCCTAGAACCACCAACGCTTCCACCATGTGGGCGCATGACGTACACATGGCGGTAGCGGCTGTTCTCATCCCAGCGTTCGGGGACAGACTCCTGCAGCCAGAGCACAACCCACATGCAGCAAGCACGCTCGAAAAGTCTTCCTGGGCCTACACTGGTGCACTTATAAGCCCCCTAAGTCCTCTAAGTAGCTTACAGCTAGACTTATAATCGGGGGCTATACGTACCCATGAACTCCAAGGATGCACAAGTTCATGCGGCGAGGACAGAACACCTCTTGGTTCCCGCATCCCAGCCCTAAGTCTAGAGGTTCTACCTTGGACCCTTCAGGTTGTACCCTTGGGTTTTTGGGACCCTTTTTTAAGATCCCTAAGGGGAATGTACGGGCCATATTACAGGTAAATGCAGAGGAACCTTTGGGGGCACAACCTTAGGGGTGCGAGTCTTCATCCCTGGGCATAAACAACCCTGAACCCTTAACCCTAAACCCTAAACCCTAAACCCTAAGCCCTAAACCCTGAGCTACATCCCTTGACTCAACCCATTAATTCTCTTTGTAGGGGAAGCCATGAGCTCTCAGTGGGCTCCTCTGGGGTTGGCCCCCAGGAAGCTCGGATTAAAAGAGGGTGTAGGCTTTAGGGTTTAGGGTTTAGGGTTTAGGGTTCAGGGTTTAGGGTTTAGGGTTTAGGGACCCTAAACCCTGCTTTTTTGCTTAAAGGGGCATAAGGGTGCCCGAAACCCCCCAACAAAAAGGGAACTAGGGTATCCTAGTCACCCTAACCCTCAGCCCTAAACCCTTTCTAGCCACATTTCAGTGGGCTCCTGAAAGAAGGCGTAGAATCGCAAGACCTGCTTCTCGTGCTTTAGCCATGCTGGCGTGATCCGCGGGTAGCGCATGTTCTTTGGGATGAGGTCCTCCTCCTCAGGGGCTTAGGCTAAGGGGCTTAGGGGTTTAGGGGTTTAGGGTTTTAGGGTTTTTGGGTTTTAGGGTTTTTGGGTTTTTGGGTTTTTGGGTTTTAGGGTTTTAGGGTTTTAGGGTTTTAGGGTTTTAGGGCTTTAGGGCTTTAGGGTTTAGGGTTTAGGGTTTGGCAACCTTAATAAAACCCCACACCCTACACTTTTTCGTGGGTCACTTTACTCTAAACCCCCCTTTATAGGATTCTTAGATTTCCGACGAAAAAAGTCGGCTCTGGGTGCCGCAAGAATATTTACCATGACAGCCCCTTACAGGATTCTCAGGTCATCCTACGAAAAACCTCGGTTCTGGGGCCCTAAACCCTGAGGGTCACCTGTTCTTGTCTATGGGGCTCCCCAGCAAAGCAACCTCTGAGAAGAGGGTGCTTAGTGTTCAGGGTTTGGGGTTTAGGGTGTAGGGTTTAGGGTTTCGGGTTTAGGTTTTAGAGTTTAGGGTTTAGGGTTTAGAGTTTAGAGTTTAGAGTTTAGAGTTTAGGGTTAGGGGTTTAGGGTTTAGGGTTTAGGGTGACCCAAGAGGTAAACTAGGAACAAGAAGGGGTTTAAGGTTGAGAGTTTTTTGTTTTGGGTTTAGGGTGGAGCTTATACTAAACAAATCTTAGTGGCTTCAGGACCCGGAAACAAGGTTTGGGGGAACCCCAGACTAAACCCAATCACACCCCAAACCCTAAACCCTAAACCCTAAACCCTAAACCCTAAACCCTAAACCCTAAACCCTAAACCCTAAACCCTAAACCCTAAACCCTAAACCCTAAACCCAGGCCGTCTCCTTCACCTCCTCTGGAGGAGGAGGCTCTGCAAAGGCCACACGCCAACCTGCAGTTGCCATGAGCCTTGGGACAAAGTTGGGGTTTAGGGTTTAGGGCTAGGGTTTAGGGTTTAGGGTTTAGGGCTTCGGGCTTCGGGCTTCGGGCTTAGGGTTTAGGGCTCAAGGTTTAGGGCTTAGGGTTTAGGGCTTAGGCTTAGGGCTTCAGAAGCTTCAGGAGCTTCAAGGAGCTGCAGGGGCTTCAGGTTTACTGTAGGGTGTAGGGTGTAGGGTTTAGGGTTTAGGGTTTTAGGGTTTAGGGTTTAGGGCTTAGGGTTTAGGGTTTAGGCTTAGGGTGTAAGGATTAGGGTTTAGGGGCTGGGGGCTGAAGGGGCTGAGGGGCGGAGGATCCCTGCATTCCTAGAGTTGACGTCCGGTGCTCTCGTGCCCATGCACATACGTTTACGGTTTAGGGTTTAGGGTTTAGGGTTTAGGGTTTAGGGTTTGGGGTTTGGGGTTTGGGGTTTAGTCCGCAATACCCAACCCACAGCTTGATTTGCTTCACCAGCAGCCAAGAAAAGAGCAAGTGGTCGATACTGAGGTTCCGAACCCCTAAACCCTAAACCCTAAACCCTATACCCTAAACCCTAAACCCTATACCCGAAACCCTAAACCCTTTGGATGTTGTGTGCAGGAGAGCTGATGCCAGTCAGCTTCGTTGTCCGGTGGAGTCATGTAGGGGCCCTGAAGAATCAGAAGAGGGTGTTGGGGTTATTATAGTACATATTGTTACAGAAAACTCCAAAATGTTGGAACATCCTTATCCCTATCACCCAGAAAGGTATACTAAACGGAATCCCAGCTCTAATCATCCTCAAACCATGTTCCAACTTTCTGGAGTTTACTGTATAGTGAGCATAGTGGGGAGTATAGTACTAGTAAATATTTCCGACCCCTATCGTAAACCCAAAACCTTAAACCCTAACCCTCAAACCCTAAACCGCAAACCCTCAACCCTAGGGATTCCTCCCCCCTTCAAAGAGACACAAGAGGACTCAGCAGAGGGACGCGGCAAGCTGTCTCCCATGATCGGAGACCAGCGATGTCTTCCTGACTTGACAGGGACAAGCCGGGAGAGGCCAATACCCCTCAATGAGGACCATGACTTAGGTCAGAATGAGTGGGGTTTAGCGTGTAGGGTTTAGGGTTTAGGGTTTTAGGGTTTTAGGGTTTAAGGGTTTAAGGGTTTTTTTTTTGCTATGGCCCTGCGCGCCAGTCCGCGCGCTTTGGCGTCTTCCCGAGTTGGGGGTTTCTCAGCTCCTTGTGTATTTGGGCGTACTTATAATGAGGTCCGAGGGCGGGGTGGTCGGGGGAGTTGCAAATGTGAGGAAAGTACTGGCGAGAGACCACTTCAACCCAGTAGGGAAATTGCATACCCCGCCGACGTCCCTGGCTGAGAATCCGATCCTTGTGAGCCGAACCGAAGACTACAGAGTGATATACCTCCTTTCTAGGGGCCAAGAATACCTCCCTCATCATTTTATATTGCATGTCCGAGAGCAGGTGGGATGGAAGGCGTGGTCTGTGTGCCTGTTCATAGACCTCTACGTTGGGGATTCTGGAGTAATAGGAGGCCTTAATTCGCACTACTCTTCTAAGGAAACGAATGTAAAATGCATCTATTCTTTTGAGGTGCGGTGTGGTTAGGGTAAGTGCGTCTAGACCGTAAGTTAGAACGGGAAGAAAGGTGGCCTGGAAGATTTTGAGACGCTCTTTGAGGCAGAGTGTGCTATTCCATATAAGTCTTAGTTTTTTGAATGCCTCTTCAGCTAGAGCTGCCCGGTGATAAAAAGCTGTCTCGAAAGGCTTGGTCCAGGAGATCATGCTACCCAAGTACTTGACTACAGTTTTTGTGGGGACGCTTGACCCATCCTTAAATCGCAGCGCAGGCTCGGAGTAGTTGGGGCGTACCAGGAGCTCCGTTTTAATTTTATTTAGGGACATACCATATTCCGCTGCAAGCTCCTCCAGGGCGCTTAGAATGCTTTGGAGTTGCGGTGTGGTCAGAGCAAGGAGTAGCGTGTCATCTGCATATTCCATATCTGCCACCGGGAACCCCTCTGACCATGTGTTGGTCGGGACCCCCCTTTGTTGCAATTCCCCGTCCAGGTCCTCGAAGATCACAGTTAGCACAATAAGGAAAAGGTAGGGGCTGAGCGGACATCCTTGTCTAATTCCAGCCTTAACTTGTCCTACGGCGGTGTGGTCAAGACCTACTGTTTGGAACGTTGGATTAGCATAGATAGATTTTATGTTGTCCAACATCTTATGTGAAAGTCCAAAGCGCTGCAGCGCTTGTAGCATAGCGGTGTGGTCCAAGGAGTCAAAGGCCTGTTTCCAGTCTAGAAATAGTAATTGTAGGTTTCTGTTAGTCATGGTCGACCACTCCATAGCCCTTCTGACCACGAACAGGGGGTGACGTGTGCCCCTTCCAGCCCTGAAACCAAACTGCTGTGGACGAAGTCTTTCATCAAATGCGCTAGCCAGCCTAGCTTGGAGCATTGCAGCATACACCTTGTAGGTAACGTTAAGTAAGGAAATGGGGCGGTATGATGCCGGGTCCGAGTCATCCCCCTTTCCCTTGTAAATAGAAACTATTGTTGCGTGAGACCAATCTGGCGGTGTGGTCCTGTTGTTCCAAACTTCGATATAAAACTCCAGCAGGCGCCTTTCGCCCTCCGCGTCCAAAAGCTGAAGGATTTCGTTAACTATACCATCGGGGCCCGGCGCTTTCCCCTTTTTGGTTTTACCCAAGGCATCCAACAATTCGCCGCGGGTAAACAAGGGCTCATCCGGTGCTGGCTGACGGAGGGGTAATCTCGTGGAGCGTTTCTGTGCGGAGTGGTCCGGGATGTGTGGTTGTCCCCACTGTGTGTCCTGTAGATGATTTCGGAAAGCAACATGGGTTGACGTCCATGGTACTGGCTTACCCTCTACTATAAGCTGAGTACGGCGGCCTTGAAAACCTTTACGCTGACGTCTAACCGTGTTCCACACTGGCGATGTGGTCCCTGCCGGATCAGCCAGCAGTTGCTCATGAACCCAATGGACCCTATCTTTACGTGCTAATCTTTTAGCCTGGTTGCGCAACTTTTTCCAGTCCTCCGACTGTTCAGCTTGAGCAACACGGGCCTGCGCCAGGGCCCTCAGCGTGGCTTCACGAATCCAGGGTTTGGCAATGGTGCGCTGTTGCAGGGGGAAGTGTTCCTGGGCAGAATGTTTGGCCGCGTTGAGGAAATCGGTGAGCGAGCCGTGCATGGTGGGGGGCGTGGTCTGTGAGGCGTGCGTTGCTATTGGTTGTCTCCTGCCTCCCTTATACTCTTTGCTATCCCTACCCTGTGCTGCCAAGCCATCTGCTATGCAGTTGTAGTAGTGACCTGCATGACCCTTAACCCACTGAAAACTTGTTTTGATTCCTGCTTCGTAGGCTAGCGTCTGCGCCAAGAGCACCAGGTCTTTGTTGGTTTTAGGGCGCCACTTACCTGTGATCATGTTAAGGGACCATTGGCTGTCTGCGTAAATGACCACTTCCCTGTACTCCAGCTCATGCGCGTATAGCAGTGCCTCTATGATGGCAGTAAGCTCGCCTGTATTATTGGATCCTACTCTAGCGCCGATGTATTTAACGTGTCGCTGGTCGGTACAAACCGGGCCGGAGGCCGTAAGATCTGGCGGTGTGGTCCCGTCCCCGTTTGGGGAGAGGCGTGCGCACCAACCCCAACCTGCTGGTGTGGTACCCGTGGCTTTCCCTTTGGTGCCTGCTCCATCTGTGTAGAACCAAATGGACGGGCTATGTATGCTTGCTTCAGCGGGGTGGTCAATCCCCACATATCGCAAAGCTTGAGACAGCGCAGTCCCAATTACGCGGGCCCAAAACCAGCCGCTTTTCAGAATATCCACCAGTCCGACGCCACGGAAATACTTCAAAGCAAAGGCCAGCATGTCAGCGGCTTTAGCCTGATACTGAACAAAGCCACCAAACACAACATGAGCTGATATCAGCGACCCGCTGTGCGGCACAGCAATTGAACCCAGCTGGCCGCTAGCGGTGGTGCCGATGTTGTCACCATCCGTGGCACCAATCCATTGAGGAGCTGCCATCCGATTTGTGGCCAACATCCATCCTACCTCCACGGCCACAGGGGATGGAAACGCCCGAACAAGCAACCTCATCGCAGATTCAAGATCTTGAAGGCGAAGCTTATTCACGGCAGCAACAGCAGGAACAAAATCAGCACCTTGCGGATTGCCCAGAATTGGTGCTCCGGCATTAAGCAAATCGTTGTCCCCCAGGCTGCCAAGCGCCGCTCCACCGGGCACGGGCGATCGTAGTTCCGCACCTGTATTGATGGCCCACACGGTGATCGGATCCAAGAATCTGAATCCGGACGCCAGCATAAGGATCTCGCCTCCCACAACAGGCCCGTTGGCATACTCAGCACGGCTAGGCCTGCCGACGAGCTCAGGGCACCGGATCCCGTTCAAAGGATCGAAGACGTTGCCGTCAACACGCAGCGACGTAGTGTCAAACCTTGGCGTAACGATGGGCCCGGTGCTGAGCAAGCATCTCAGGGCCGGGGCATACTGATCCATCTCATTTGCTGAAACTTCAACAACAAAGCCCCTGCCACTGAATAGCTCTGCAGCGTGATTAACTATGGCTGCACCAGAACCGGCAGCCCGCGCTTCAAAGAACATCTCCGCCGGAGCCGCACTCCAAACCGCGTCGAGCTCACCGGTCATCGCCATGGCCATGACAGAAAAATTGGACCAAGCTCGGGCCCAAATGTAACTGCAAGCAGCGCCCTGACAATGTCGCAGATCCATAGCATTGATGAATTGCCCGATCATTGCAGAGCTGCTGCCACGATTTAAATTCTGCGGCGCAACTCCAGGCCCCAAGCCGTCCAGTGACAGCTCAGCAAAACGCTCAGCATACTGATCACTGATCGACTTGGTTCTCAGCCCAACTGCCAACTCAGCAGAAAGCTCAATAGTGCCTTCATTCGGCGAAGTCGGCACATACACCACCCGCCTCATAGTTCTGAGTCGGCAGCCAACCGTGACGACAGTGGCCAAATCCAGCAAATGCTTGTCCACCTCATCAACAGGTGTAGTTGCACGCAAAGTCGTCTCAGCAATGGCCAAGCTGAGATTGGCGCCAACAGTCTGCAGCTTAGTCTGATTTTCGGCGTGAAGCTGCTGAGGCAATGTTCTCCGCTCTGAGTAGAGCAACGGGGATTCCCCTTGCTCTCTTTCATCATCAACCGCGAGGTCAGGGAGCGACACCCACGAAGCCATGGCTCGACGGCTCAAACACAGCTGCTTTAAGCCACAACGTCCTGAAACAAACAACATACAACCGGAACACAATCCGAAAGAAGCAGCCGCAGCGTCAAGTTGACGTATACACCACAACATAAGGCGGCATGTGTGACCATTTGTGCCAGCAGCGCTAACACGTCCGGTCCAAAAACTACATTTCCGGCTGACCTGTCGTCAGCCGAAGCCGAATCACTCACCTTCTGCCATTCTTCAGCCGCACGTGGCACTGGTGGCAAGTGCACCGCCCACTGTAGGAATGAGCGCCACGTTTGCTGCACCACCCCCGCGAACAGACTGTGCACCGGCCGCCACAAACGCACCACTCAGGAGGCTCTTCAGCACCGCCCCCTTCACGGCGAACTCCAGGCCCAGCACCAGCAGCGGCACTCGAGGTCGCCACATCTCTGGCAGCGATGAGGCCAGCTGCGTGGTCTCTAAGCGTCTCAATCTCCGGACGGGACAGGTGAAGAACCAGGCTGATCAACGCAACAAAGACATCTGACCAGCTCTGTGACGGCTGCCCGCCAGACCGATCCATGGCTCCGAAAATAAATCTCTGAGCCAAGACGTCTGCGGCTCTAAAACAAAAAGCTGGCTGACACAAGATCTGCAAATCTTGACAACAGCCAACGGTGAAAATCAGCGGACCCAACAGCACCAAATTTTCTGCGGGCACTAGGGTCGCTATAAAACATTTCGGTATCTGAATGTTTACACTCCTAGGGAATTCTAGCAGGCTAGAATTCCCGTTTAAGGGTTTTAGGGTTTTAGGGTTAGGACCCTTGTGTAGGTTCAAGGATTACCCCCTAATTCAGAAGTGCTTCCCTTTGGGATCTACAGAAGCATCTTGGGTTTGCGGGGGGGGGGAGCATGCCATGGCGCCTTCGATGTCTGAGTTTTTTGTCCCGGAGGGGAGGGGGGGGGGGGTAGTGCTTCAGACCTCCTCGCCTTTCAAAGGTTTGATTGAAGGTGAGGGGTTGAAGTTAAGGCTCTTGGGATTCAGGTTTCGGGTTTGAGGGCTTAGGGCTGAGCGTTTAGGTCTGCGTCTTTCCCTAAACCCTAAACCCTAAACCCCACCCTAGACCCTAGACCCTAAACCCTAAACCTTAAACCCTAAACCCTAACCCGAAACCCTAAACCCTAAACCCTAAACCCTAAACCCTAGCCGGCCTGCCCCTTTCTTAACCCGAAGCTCTTGAAGCACAGGAGGCTCGTTTTTAGTCCTGGGGCTTCGGGCTTCGTGGGATGCAGGACCCTGGACCCTGAACCCTGAACCCGAAACCCTAAACCCTAAACCCTAGCCCTAAACCCTAAACCCTAGCCCTAAACCCCAATCCCTCAACCGGGCATCTTCAGGTCCACCATCGAGCGGAGGTTTCCAGGCGTCTTGAAGCCCAGGGTCGTCTTCCGGGCATTGCCCGTGAAGCCCTGCAACTGTTCAGGGTTTAGGGTTTAGGGTTTAGGGTTTAGGGTTTAGGGTTTAGGGTTTAGGGTTTAGGGTTTAGGGTTTAGGGTTTAGGGTTTAGGGTTTAGGGTTTAGGGTTAGGGTTTGGGTTTTAGGGTTTAGGGTTTTGGGTTTAGGGTGCAGGGTTCACGCTCGTGCAATCACCCAAACAACCCCCACCCCCTGCATCAAAGGGCAACCTCAGGCTGACCCAAGTCACTCCAGGAGCAAGATCGCTCGTTTAGGGCTTCGGGTTCAGGGTTTAGGATTAAGGGTTAGGGATAATAGGGCTTAGGGTTTTAGGGTCTAGGGTTGAGGAAAGGTGCCCAGAAAGTATCCCCCAGGGCGGGGGCGGGGGTACCCTTTTGGGTGGGGGAAGGAAGAGGTTTGGGGGCCTGTGAGTTTTTTTTGGCTTGGCACACTTCTCGATTATGAGTTTAGGGTTTAGGGCTTAGGGCTGAGGATCTGGGTGCTTGGGGCGGTTCTGGGGTTCTAACGGGTTTCTATGGATGGTTGTGTAACCCTGAACCCAGGCTCAACCATTCGTTAAAACAAAAAATGTTTGTGCAACCCAAGCCCTAAACCCCCAGGCCCCTTTTGAAGCTGGACCCCTAAACCCTAAACCCCTGCAGCCTAAACCCTTACCCCTAAACCCTCTTGCCCCTACACCCCAAGCCCCAAACCCAACTCAGGGCTCTGGGCTTTGTGGGGCGAGGACCAAAACATCATTTTCGGGTTTCATTTTGACCTACATCCCCCCAAGAAAAAAGAAAACAAAGCCCACCCAAATCCTTATTTTGCACCAAAACCCCCGAAAACCCTCGGAGACTCGCCAGACCTCTTAACTTCTCCAATGACCCAGGTAAGCAAAAACAAGGTGCCGGCGCCCGTAAGAGGCCGTGTGACTGAACACATTTTGTGTTTACATTTTTCGCATCCGGGGGCCCGAAAACCCAAGTAAGACGCACATTTTCGTGGTCGCCACAGCAGTGGCAGGGCTCGAAAACACTGAGGGCTTAGGTCATTTGATCTGCAAAATGCACTCTCGCTCCAAGCCTGATCGTTTTTTTGGTTGACATTTTTGCTCGAATGTGCGCGCGTTTTGCTTATTCCCCATGTTAAGCTTTCAAATCGCGATTTTCGGTTCGGTGTTTGTTTCGGCGTTTTGGCTCAGACAGTTCAGGTTCGAACTAGTGCTCTCGCCACAGCGCAGGCGCGATTTTCTGGAATTGTGCTTTGGTTGTAACCCAAGAGACTTTTGTGCACTGGATCCTGAAAGTGGCCTCAAGTGGGCAAGAAAAGAGTGGAGCCGAAGGTCTGGGAGGTGGCAAATCCGTAAAACACCAAACTCCGAATTAAACAGCAAAGGTTTAGGCCTTTGCGGGTTAGGGGTTTAGCCCCACCCCCCCCCAGTGTGTGAGCAAAACCGGGTCTATTTAGAAGCTGGGGCTTGTGATTTATAATACAGGTCCATATACCTAAATGTAATAAACCTAGAAGAGCACGGCTTCTAAATAGACCCTACGGTCGGATTTCAAAAGGACGTTGGCAGAAATTAATAATTTTAATAATTTTAATAATTTTAATAACTTTAATAATTTTAATAATTTTAATAATTTTAATAATTTTAATAATTTTAATAATTTTAATAATTTTAATAATTTTAATATTTTTAATATTTTTAATAATCCTGAGAGGCTCCCGGAAAATTAAAATTATTAACAATATTAAAATTATTAAAATTATTAATTTCTGCCCTGAGAGGCTCCCGGAAAAATAAAATTATTAAAATTATTAAAATTATTAAAAATTATTAAAATTATTAAAATTATTAATTTCTGCCATGAGAGGCTCCCGGAAAATTAAAATTATTAAAATTATTAAAATTATTAAAATTATTAATTTCTGCCCTGAGAGGCTCCCGGAAAATTAAAATTATTAAAATTATTAAAATTATTAAAATTATTAAAATTATTAAAATTATTAAAATTATAAAAATTATTAATTTCTGCCCTGAGAGGCTCCCGGAAAATTAAAATTATTAAAATTATTAAAATTATTAAAATTATTAAAATTATTAATTTCTGCCCTAAGAGGCTCCCGGAACATTAAAATTATTAAAATTATTAAAAATTATTAAAATTATGAAAAATTATTAAAATTATTAAAATTATTAATTTCTGCCCTGAGAGGCTACCCGAAAATTAAAATTATTAAAATTATTAAAATTATTAAAAGTATTAAAATTATTAAAATTATTAATTTCTGCCCTGAGAGGCTCCCGGAAAATTAAAATTATTAAAATTATTAAAATTATTAAAATTATTAAAATTATTAAATTATTAAAATTATTAAAATTATTAAAATTATTAATTTCTGCCCTGGGAGGCTCCCGGAAAATTAAAATTATTAAAATTATTAAAATTCTTAAAATTATTAAAATTATTAAAATTATTAAAATTATTAAAATTATTAAAATTATTAAAATTATGAAAAATTATTAAAATTATTAATTTCTGCCCTGAGAGGCTCCCGGAAAATTAAAATTATTAAAATTATTAAAATTATTAAAATTATTAATTTCTGCCCTGAGAGGCTCCCGGAAAATTAAAATTATTAAAATTATTAAAATTAGTAAAATTATTAAAAATATTAATTTCTGCCCTGGGAGGCTCCCGGAAAATTAAAATTATGAAAATTATTAAAATTATTAAAATTATTAAAATTATGAAAATTATTAAAATTATTAAAATTGTTAAAAATATTAAAATTATTAATTTCTGCCCTGAGAGACTCCCGGAAAATTAAAATTATTAAAATTATTAAAATTATTAAAATTATTAAAATTATTAAAAGTATTGAAATTATTAAAATTATTAAAATTTTAATTATTAATTGTTTCATAATTTTAATAATTTTAATAATTTTAATAATTTTAATAATTTTAATAATTTTAATTTTCCGGGAGCCTCTCAGGGCAGAAAATAAGAATTTTGATATTTTTAATAATTTTAATAATTTTAATAATTTTAATAATTTTAATTTTCCGGGAGCCTCTCAGGGCAGAAATTAATAATTTTAATAATTTTAATAATTTTAATAATTTTAATAATTTTAATAATTTTAATAATTTTAATTTTCGGGGAGCCTCTCAGGGCAGAAATTAATAATTTTAATAATTTTAATAATTTTAATAATTTTAATAATTTTAATAATTTTAATTTTCCGGGAGCCTCTCAGGGCAGACATTAATAATTTTAATAATTTTAATATTTTTTCTAATTTTAATTTTCAGGGAGCCTCTCAGGGCAGAAAATAATAATTTTAATTATTTCAATAATTTTAATAATGTTAATAATTTTAATATTTTTAATTTTCCGGGAGCCTCTCAGGGCAGAAATTAATAATTTTAATAGTTTTAATAATTTTAATAATTTTAATAATTTTAATAATTTTACTAATTTTAATAATTTTAATTTTCCGGGAGCCTGTCAGGGCAGAAATTCATAATTTTCATAATTTTAATATTTTTTCTAATTTTAATTTTCAGGGAGCCTCTCAGGGCAGAAAAGAATAATTTTAATAATTTTAAGAATTTTAATAATTTTAATAATTTTAATTATTTTTCATAATTTTAATAATTTTAATAATTTTAATTTTCCGGGAGCCTCTCAGGGCAGAAATAATTTTAATAATTTCCATACTTTTAATAATTTTAATAATGTTAATTTTCCGGGAGCCTCTCAGGGCAGAAATTAATAATTTTAATAATTTTAATCATTTTAATAATTTTAATAATTTTAATAATTTTAATAATTTTAATAATTTTAATTTTCGGGGAGCCTCTCAGGGCAGAAATTAATAATTTTAATAATTTTAATAATTTTTAATAATTTTAATAATTTTAATTTTCCGGGAGCCTCTCAGGGCAGAAATTAAAAATTTTAATAGTTTTAATAATTTTAATTTTCCGGGAGCCTCTCAGGGCAGACATTAATAATTTTAATAATTTTAATAATTTTAATATTTTTTCTAATTTTAATTTTCAGGGAGCCTCTCAGGGCAGAAAATAATAATTTTAATAATTTTAATAATTTTAATAATTTTAATAATTTTAATAATTTTAATAATTTTAATAATAATTTTAATAATTTTAATAATTTTAATAATTTTAATAATTTTAATTTTCCGGGAGCCTCTCAGGGCAGAAATTAATAATTTTAATAATTTTAATAATTTTAATAATTTTAATAATTTAATAATTTTAATAATTTTAATAATTTTAATAATTTTAATAATTTTAATTTTCCGGGAGCCTGTCAGGGCAGAAATTAATAATTTTCATAATTTTAATATTTTTTCTAATTTTAATTTTCAGGGAGCCTCTCAGGGCAGAAAAGAATAATTTTAATAATTTTAATAATTTAATAATTTTAATAATTTTAATAATTTTAATTTTCCGGGAGCCTCTCAGGGCAGAAATAATTTTAATAATTTCCATACTTTTAATAATTTTAATAATGTTAATTTTCCGGGAGCCTCTCAGGGCAGAAATTAATAATTTTAATAATTTTAAGATTTTAATAATTTTAATAATTTTAATAATTTTAAATGTACTTTTTTAGCTTAGAATCAGTAAAAACTGAAAATTTGCTCAAAGAATCCTACAACATAGTAAAAAATCGCAAAAATTGACCAATTTTGGGGGCCCGTGTAGTATAAAATCAAATAAAAAACGGTACGTGAGAATGCCTTCAGATGCAGGAGAAAAGAGTACCCAGAAACCGCGGTATCATCTCCAAAAAATGACAAAAACACACCGTACTCTCCTACGCGATCCTACGCGCTATCCTGCATTCCTTCCTCTTTGTCTTTGGTTCGGAAAAGAAAGGAACGGCTACCAGCCTCCCTCCCGACTTACATCTTTACATTCTCTTGTTTCGTCCTGCTCACCCGGAAAGAAGGTCTGCCTCCAGTCTTTCCT